CATGAATAGTCCTAAATTTTAGCCTATAAAAGAAGGCATTTGTCATTTATTTAGGCATATTGTTTTCTATATCAAGATCATGTTCTTGCTCTCTCTCTCTTTATATTTTTGTAATGCTTAAGTTTTGCTTTCATTAATCTCTTGTTCATCCTTTTCATTTCCTTTACTATATGTAGTTAACTTATATCATATTTATGTTCTTGTATTGTTTCTTTAAGTTTTTCTTCTTTATAATGTCTAGCTAAGTTAATTATGTCAAGGTGAAAAGATTTCACTAATAGTATTGAGATAAGTATAATATAAACTTAATATGGAGTTTAATGCTTATATCCTAAACAACTTGCTATTAACATGTCTTATCATTTTTATCTTATTAATTCTTAATACCTTACTTGTTAAATGGTTAATCTAGATTTGTGTTGTATAACACTTGATACATCAAATACTTGATCCTTCATAGTCTTCGGCCGACATCATTATTATGAGATGAACTTGATTTGTTATCAACATAAGTTAGCATCATGAATACTTGATAAAATTTATATGTATGGTGTTATGTAAATAAGATGATTAATATGATCATATTGATAATTAAAAAAGAGTTTATATCTTACTTATCTCTAATACTATTAGTGTATCCTCTAACCTTGATATTTGTTTTTATCATTGTATAATATTCACATTAATTTAATCTTACATCTCAAAGTCCTCTTTAACTCATCTTCACCATCATCATCATTGTTATTGTTGTTATTGTTGTTCTTCTTATTATTATTATTTATAATTTATATAGTTAACTTCCATGTGGTTCAACCCCGGTCTTGCCAGGTTATTTATTATTTTGATACTCCTACAATTGGGATAAGACATCAACTCTTTGATCGTGTCACTTATGTTGAATTACTGAATTAGATGTGTTATGATGAAATAAATAATAGCTTGTTTAACAAGTCCCCATTTTAATTTTTATCAATTTATGGAGTTGTAATATCCGTAAATTTATATGTATAAATTTGTATAGATGTTGATAATTGATAATGAATATTTAAAAGAAGTTTTAATTACTTTGTTGGATAATCTTGAGTTAAACCAATATTTTTGCAAATTTATTTACTTAACATAGTTAATTAATATATGCTGTCGTTATTATTTTATAGAGGTTCGATAGAAGTCATGGATGATCATTCATAGATGTATTGAGATTCACCATAAGGATTGTAGAGGATGGATTATTATAATGGGGTTTAGGATTTCATTAATTTTGCAACATCTATTTCGAAAAATTTTAGTAGAGGCGATATTAGGTGTCTATGTAGGAAATGTAAAAATAAAAAGAATTTGCATCTAGATATTGTAACGACACATCTTCTACATAAGGAGTTCATGGAGGATTACTTGTGTTGGTATGCACACGAAGAACTATTTATTCATAATAAGAGCATAATAGAAAGGATGGATAGGTCAACTTCTAGTGCTAGCAACGTGCATGGAGTTGTAAATGACAACAATAATCTTTTATAGGAATATGGTTATGGATGAAATGAGAATGAATCAAGATAATGCTAGTCAATGTCCAATTATAGAAAAAGAACCTAACATAGATGCGACAATATTTTTTGATCTGTTGAAAGATTCTGATGAACCATTATGGGATGGTTGCATGAATCATATTAAATTATCAACCATCGCACAAGTGTTCACTATCAAGTCGAATTATGGATTGAGTGGGGCCGGTTATGACAAAACTATCGATTGGGTGAGAAGTATTTTACCTGAATAGAACAGTCTGAAATAGAACTTCTATGCTGCTAAGTCCTTGATGAAACCTTTTGGTTTAGGATACCAAAAAATTAACATGTGTCCTAACTTCTGCGTGTTGTACTACTACCTTGAAAATGCTAAGCTGACCGAATGCATGACATGTGGGCATTTCCATTACAAACCCAGAACTAGCACGGGAAAGACTCTCATGTCACATAAAAAACTTAGATACTTCCCAATCACACTTAGATTGTAAAGGTTATTGATGTCACAAAAGACTGTTGAGCACATGACATGACACCAATCACATGATGCAGTTGATGGAGTGATGGTGCATCCTACTGACAGCACAGCATGGAAACACTTTAATAGTATGCATCCTCACTTTTCAGCTAAATCAAGGAACATGAGTCTTGGGTTGTGTACACATAGATTCAACCCATTCGGGTTATTTGTTGCTCCTTATTTTCGTTGGCCGGTCAAACTAACAGTTTACAACTTGCCACCGGGGATGTGTATGAGGTCGGAGTTCATGTTTTTATCTATGGTGATACCCAGTCCGAGCAGTCCAAGCTAAAATATAGATGTTTATCTTCAATCGTTGATTGATAAGTTGATTCAGTTGTAGTCCTCCGGAGCTTTGACTTATGATATATCGAGAAAACATAATTTTCTTATGAGGGCAGCTTTGATGTGGACTATCAATGATTTTCCAGCTTATGGAATGGTTTCTCGTTAGAGCACGTATGGAAAACTAGCATGTCCATACTTCATGAAAAATAACAAGGGATTCACGCTAACAAACAGAGGTAAAGCTTCTTTTTTTTTTTTACTGCCACCATCATTTCTTGCCACCAAAGCACAGATACAGAAAGAAGGATTTCTTTGTTGGCAGAGTTGAAAAGGATGTTGCACCCCTGCATCTTTCTGGTGAAGAATTGCATAACGTTGTATTAGAGTACGGTGACATTGTGTTTAGTTTTCAATCTGGTAAGCAGAAGTTTTCAGGTTTTGGTTTGACCCACAACTGGATAAAGCGAAGCATTTTCTAGGAGCTTCCTTATTGGAAGACCAATCTCATCTATCATAACCTCGATGTCATGCACATAGAAAATAACATGTTTGAGAACATTTTCAACACTGTCAAGGATGTTAAGGGGAAGGTAAAGGACAAAATCAAGGCTAGAATGGATATAATATTGTTCTGTAACCGTAAAAATATAGGGTTGATTTTTAATATGTCATGGGTCATAAAACCTAGAGCAAACTTCATATTAGAGAAAAATGCACAACAACTAATCTACCAATGACTTAAGAGTTTGTATTTTCCCGATAGACATACCTCGAACATATCAAGATTGGTTAATATAGAGGAATGCAGATTATATGAAATGAAGAATCATAAGTGTCATATATTTATGCAAACACTCATTCCATTAACTTATCGTGATTTGTTGTCAAATGGTATATGAGAACTATTTTATGTTTATCTTGATTTTAATTAAATCTAGAAAAATCAAGGGTTATTTGAGATTAATTTTTTGTTCAACTATAATTTGTTTAATTAAAATAAATTTCCAACAGATTATTTGATATTATATTAGAAACATGATAATTAAACAATCACGAGTTTAAATCTCATCTATTTTTAATTAATAAAATTAAATATAAAATAGTATGAGTCTTTGTAAATTTTAAACTTAAAAATATTTTATGTAAAAAAATATATTAAAAAATAATATAAAAATAATTTTAAAAAAAAAATCAAATCATGAAAAATTTATTCTCCCTTTCAAATCATATGATACGGCAATATTGTGGGCTCTCCCTGCTAGTGTGCAGGCCGACAATGTTGACTTCCTGCAATTTGTACACTTATTATGTATTCCGTGGAATTCTTGAACATGAGTGTTAAATACGATGAGAAATCATACCATCACAGTTTTTCTACGAGTTGACGAGAAAAGTCCCCAAATTTTCCACTGAATAGATAATGGAGGGCCACCGCTGTCAAATTCAAGCAATTGAGAAGACTATAGATCACTTAACGACAAGGGAATAGACAATGGAGGGCCACAGTTGGATAATCATATAAAATTATTTATTGAGTTTCTCCTGACCACTTAAAATTTTAATTCTATACCAAATTTTAGCTGCAACTATTTAAAGATTAAAAATCATTATTTTCATTTGATGCTTATTAACCTCTAAATAGGAAGAAAGTTATGTTTTATACTTTTATTTTTATTTTTATTTTTATTTTTATCACTTTTTTAATACAAAAAGATATTTAAACTCAAGACTTTCTTTTGTAAAAAAAGAAATTGAACCTAATTGCAATTTAACTCAATACTATAAAATTGACAAATATAAATAAAAACACTAATAAAATGTTTTCGTCGATATATTACGATGCTTTTACGTACAAAATTTTATATCCCTATAACCATCATTAAACACCGATAGAAATATTTCCTTAGTATATACTAATAAAATTGCAATGAAAAAATAAAAAATGAAAAAAAAACTCAATGTAATGACATGTAACTTTTACAAATGACATTATCGACATAATTAACTCAACGATAAAGTATGTCCATAAATATATTGACAGAAAACTTCCTCGATACATGTCAAGAAAATTATGAAGGGTATTACAGCGGGATTAAAAAAAGATTAATATCACGATAACATGGTATTTGTACCGAGAGAATCATGCATTGTGTCGGTCATTTTATCGATAGTATTTAATTTTTTTCTGCATGAAACAACCATCCCCTCCCCCTAATCTCAACACAATTTAATTTTTTATAATAAATTTGGTCACCACAATACTCAATTTGTCAATAATCGTATTCTAATTCAATTTTTTTTTTAGAATTCTCCATTTTAATTAAGTAAATCTATCTTCTTTTTTTCTATTTTTCTATTCAAACTCAAAACATCAAGTTGGAAATTCTTTGTGACATGGGGTATAGTCACTTACCCATAGACTCTGTGACATGGGGTGGGTCTTGTTGCTAGCTTCTTACTGTTGATTATTTTGCCTACTAAAGCTGTTGATAGCGAGTGTTTCATCAAGACTTCGGCAAAATCTATCATCAATTCTCAAAAAAAAGAAAGGAAAAAAACTTAGTTTTTTATTTGTTATTGTTCTTTTTTTTTCAGCAATAATTTAAAATTTTATTCCGTAGTGTTGATCTTCAATTTAAAGTCGGAATATTCTCAAACCCTTCATGTATGTGACATCGTGCAAAGAAAAATAAATTCTAATGTATAAAACAGTGCCAACATAATTTGAAAGAAATAAAGTTTGATGATGAAATTCTTATTACAAAGATTTATTGTTCCAATTGAAAATTGAAAAGAAGTAGCTAAACACTATGAGAAGAGATCTCCCAAACTTATTGTGCAAAATGCCTTCGGCAGTGGAGGCCACTTAGCTGTAAGATCCAAATAAATTTTTTCCATTGTAGGCCGAGATTGGGGATTGGGATGCAAGCATGCAAGTGCAATTTTCATCATATGGACAACGCCCTCTGCTGCTCCTTTTTTAGGAAGCGAGATGCGTTGGTCTAGCACATCCTTCAATAGTGCATGTTGAGCAATCGGTGGCATCGATGACGACGACGAAGATCCTGGTGATAAGAGTGCTGAAATGAGGTCGCCTGGGTGCCTTCCTGTCATCACCTCCATTGTTACCACTCCGAAGCTATAGACATCACATTTTTCAGTCACTTTCATTGTGTAAGCTAGCTCTGCCAAATTAAAAAAAAAATGATTATATATGCTTAGTTTTTATCAAATAGTGGAAAGAAAAGACTCTATAATAAAAGCTAAAAAAGCACTATTATTTTCAATATAACGCATTAGTAACTTGACGTTGAAATAAAGCTACGCACCTGGAGCAGTATATCCAAAAGTACCTGCAAATGAGGTCCAATTGGATGAGTCAGGCATCAACAGTCTAGCTGTGCCAAAGTCGGAGACGTGTGCTTCATATTCCAAGTCCAGAAGGATATTGTTGCTGGTAATGTCCCGATGAATGATTGGAGGAGAGCAAGAGTGGTGTAGATATGATAAAGCTCCAACCACCCCTTTTACAACATTTAGCCTTTTCATCCAATCGAACTCAATTGCTTGTTCCTCACTGGTTATAATCTTTCTCAAGCTTCCTCTTTCAATGAACTCATAAACCAAAAAAGAATGCTTTGCATGTGAGCAAAATCCATACATTTTCACAATATTTCGATGTCGAATATTTGCCAACACACAAACTTCCTTTTCAAAAGCTTTAAAATCGGACAACTTTTCTGTTTGTGACCGGTGAAGTTTCTTCACAGCAACCACCTGTTCTGTTGGCATCACGGCTTTATAAACAGTTCCATATCCTCCTTCGCCAATGCAGTAGTTGGAGTTGAATTCCTCTGTAGCTTCAACGATATTCTCATACAACTTCTTCCCATCATGGCCCAATATCGTGAACATGTTTCGATCTTGTTCATTTTCTGGCTCATCTTTTCTCTTCCTGGCTCTTTGGCGGAGAATGAATAAAGCTCCATTCACAACAAACACTAAAAGCAAGCTTCCTAAAAGAGGGAGCACAATCAAAATCACAAGTTTGTTGCTCTTTCTCTTAACAGTTTTGCTGCTTTTTGGAAGATTGCACGGCTTTAGACCACTGGCGTTGCCACATATACCCATATTATCCCTTAATGCCTCAAATGAAGCGTTGTGGAAGGCTTTGATATCGGGAATGGGGCCTTGTAGCTTATTGGATGATATATCCACAGTTGTTAAGCTTAACATGTCTTTGAAAGTGCTCGGAATCTGTCCAGAAAGCACGTTGTGAGAGACATTCAGAGTTTCCAACTTTTGCAGTTGCCCAAGTTGCCTCGGTATCTCTCGAGTCAGGAAATTGCAGCTAAGATCAAGATCTTGAAGAGAAAGTAGAAAGCCTATCTCACCTGGAATGCTTTCTCTAAATTTATTACCGCTGAGGTTCAGCAACAATAAATTTGAGCATTCCCCAAGTTGTTTTGGAATCAATCCACTCAGATTATTAGATGCTAAATTAAGGATTTGAAGATTGGAAAGCATCTTAATATCTAAGGGAATGGCACCTGAAAGATGGTTGTTGTTAAGAATAAGCTTGTACAACAACTTCAACCCCCCTAAATCTTTTGGGATGGTTCCTTTTAACTGATTTGATGACAGATCAATCAAGCGTAATTGAGTAGCCTTCCCAAGCTCTGGTGGTATCTCACCAGAAACATTATTGTTTGAGATTTTAAGGCTTGTCATGCTACGACAATCTCCCCATTTTGAAGAAAGCTCACCATAAAAATTATTGTAACTCAAATCAATATAATCCAGATGTGGATAGACACCAAAAACCTCAGAAACATTTCCTGTTAATTGATTCGACTCAAGTCTTACTCGGTGTAAACTAGTACAGTTTTTCAAACTTTTCGGGATTGGACCTGAGAAATAGTTGTAGGCAACAGAAAAGTTTTCCAATACTCCTCCATGGAATAACTCTAGTGGCAAATGACCCGTGAATTCGTTGATAGCCAAAGACAAAGTATTCAAATGGGTGAGATTGTTCATCTCTAAGGGCAATGGGCCATGAAGTTTGTTCTCAAGTAATCTCAAGTCCACAAGGGATCTAAGTTGTCCTATTTCTGAAGGAACACGTCCAGATAAATTATTTTGACTTAAAAGAAGTTCAGTGAGCATTGTCATGTTTCCAATTGAATTAGGAATTCCACCGGTTAAAACATTACTTTGAAGGGTCAGTTCACTAAGAAACTCTAACAATCCAATTTCATGAGGAATAAAACCAGATAGTTTGTTACAACAAAGATAGAGTTTGGATAGATTTCTCAAGTTTCCAATGGAGGAGGGAATGGAACCAGTGAGATTATTTTGATCTAGTGCTAAAACAATGAGCATGGTCATGTTTCCAATAGAAGAAGGGACCGGACCAGAGAGTTGGTTAAGGGAAAGCTCAAGGGAATATAAGTTTCTCAAGTTTCCAATGGAATAAGGAATTTTACCGGTTAAAAGATTACTGGACAAGCTAAGTTCATTAAGAGACTCTAACAACCCAATTTCTTGAGGAATGGGACCGGAGAGTTTATTACCCCAAAGATAAAGTATGAATAGGTTTCTCAAGTTTCCAATAGAGGATGGTATCAAGCCAGTGAGATTATTTTGATATAGTGATACATCAATGAGCATGGTCATATTTCCAATAGAAGAAGGGATGGGACCAGAGAGTTGGTTGTCAAGAAGGTGAAGGTAAGATAAGTTTCTCAAGTTTCCGATAGAATAAGGAATTTTACCAGTTAAAATATTACTTGATAAGTCAAGTTGATTGAGAGATTCTAGCAACCCAATTTCCTGAGGAATGGAACCGGAGAGTTTGTTACCCCAAAAATAAAGTATGGATAGATTTGTCAAGTTTCCAACTGAGAATGGGATCAAACCAGTGAGATTATTTTCGGCTAATGAAATAGCGAAAAGAGACGTCAACTTTCCAATTTCATGTGGGATGATTCCAGAAAGAGAATTGTTCTGAAGGTCAAGAATAAAAAGATTCCGGAAGGATGAGAAATTGAAATCATAAAGCGTACCTCTCAAGCCAAAGTCTGCAAGGCTCAAATTGGTGACGCTTCCAGAATTGTCACAAGTGATTCCGGTCCAGTTAATGCATGGGCTAATGCCGATCCAAGAAGAAAGGAGAGATTGACTTTGGTTGTCAAGACTGGCTTTCCATCCTAGAAGAGCCTCAGCTTCTGTATTATTACCAAGCAGTGAAGTTGTGGAGGGAGTGTGTTCAGCTAAAGTAAAGCAAGAAGAAAAGTTGAGTATGTGAAGGAGCAAAAACAGGATGTGGAGAAAGAACGAGAAGAATGGTTTGTTCGGTAAGGACGTCGTCATGGTGTGTTTTCAAGAGATATAGGATATGGCTTGCTATGGTAGATTAGGCTCTCCCATGGAAGTATTTATAGGAAGGAAAACATGATTGGAATTTTTTAAAAAAAAAAATTCATTGAATATTACATCTCTTCTCTAATTAAGTTGAAATTAACTAGACTATGATTGCTCTCGTGCTTGACACGGTTGACAATTTGTGATAAAATTCCATTTCAACTTTCTTTCCCCTTTCCATATCATAGTTTGCGACGTTAACCGGAAATTATACCATGTCAAGTCTTCTCACTTTTGCTTCTTTTTTTTTTTTTTACACTCTCGTGCTTGGCAATTGGAGGCAGAAAAATGAAATAGATAAACTATTTCCAACAGGATACGAGGTTGATAGGGAACGTTAATCACTATGAAAGTACCGAGGGATCATAGAGAATATAGCTTCTTTATGACCAATGGACTATGAAAGTAAATAAAGGGCAATAAAAAGCAAAGAGTTTTATGGAAGAAACTTTAAGCTCGAAAGTTTTTTTTAACAATTTGATCACCACACTAAATTCAATGGGAGATATTGTAATTGACGTGGGACACACTTGTGGGTGTATCGCTTTGTAATTTCCAGTTCATCAATAATTTCTTCTCCCTTGCCATATTTTCCACTGAAAAGATAAATGGAAAAGTGTATGTGAGAGACTCACCAAATTTCCATAATGGAGGGCCAACTTTGACGAAGAGACTGAGAAGACTATGGATCAGTACCCGTAACAACCACGGGAACAAGTCAAACAAGTATGGCCCTTCAATGGTCAAGTTCCTATCAATCCATTTTTCTTAAGTTCTGTTGGATCTGGATCTTAGACAGACTTAGATTGTTGTTAAGAGTACTTCAATCTGAATTTTTTCTGGATTTTCTTCTATTTTTTGACATCACTAAAAAGCACTAATTTAATGTTTTTTCATACCAAATGCAATTTTAAAACTCACCTAAACATAGATTTGAACATAAGAACAGGCGTAAAAATGACTACCCTTCATTGACAAAGATTCTTTCCAATAAAGAAAAATTAATACGCTCCAGAGGAGAGAAATAGCATTGAAAAGGTACTGAAAGATGCTACTAAACAAAATTTGGGTGCGCCAGAAAATAGTTATAAAAGATAGAGCATGATCATGGCTCTATCCAGAATGCAAGGTTACCAAGAAAACAGTCACAAAATGGCTTAAACAGAACACTCTTTTCCTATGACCAACGCCTAATATTTCAGACAAGTGGATTGAAAAACTTAAGAGCTTTAAATAGGTTGAGAGTTTTGGTAAACAATTCTCAATGGATTATTATCTGAAATTATCTCTGACATTATCTGATCCCTCAACTTCCTACGTTCCCTCTATTAGAGAAGTCTCCCGATTCCTTATCATGCATTGTTGTAACAGGTTCAGTTTGTTTAAATTTTGAATTTGTATTTTAAGCTGCGCACTTATCCTCAGGGATATGCTTCTAGTCTGTTACAATCCCTTGTATTTATATCATTTAATCTAATGAGAAGAAGTGTGGCATATTTTCTCTTCTCTGTTTCTTTGCTCCTCTCATTGCTTTTATGGTATCGGAGCTCTTAATTGCTGCTGCTCTCTTCTCCAGCCACCAATACCATGACAACAACCAATTCCAACTCTGTAACTGGAATGCAAAACACAAATGAACTAAACACCTCTCATATCCATCAATACCCCTGCCCAAGTCCCACTCAAACTCTCCACAACTAATTACATCTCCTGGAAACTTCAATTCCACACACTCTTTATCGGATATGACCTCTTAGGATATATAGATGGATCCAAACCTTGTCCACCCTCCACTATCACTCAAAACAACACCACCGTACCAAATCCTACTCACAATACCTGGATAAGACACGATCAACTGATCCTTTCTCCCACAATTATTCCATTCATTGCAAGAGCCAAAACATCACAAGAAGCTTGGTTGATCTTAGCAAACACACATGCCAAGCCATCCCGAGGGTGCATCAAGCAAGTAAAGAATCAAATTAAAAAATCTAACCAAGGGGTCTCAAACTGTTATAGAGTTTCTTCAATTGATAAAATGTCAGGCTGATGAACTTGCTATTCTTGGGGCACCAATGGATGAAGATGACCTCACAGACAAAATTCTTGATGGTCTTGGGGATGACTCTAAAGACCTTATACGTGCAGTTCAACCCCGCGATAACATGATCATGTTTGATGAACTCCATGAAAAGCTTCTTCATTTTGAAGCATCTCTTCAAGGTGCAAAGTCTGAACCCTTTCATTTGCTTGGTGCCAAATCAACCCAATACAACTCCAGTTGCACCAATAAACAGCACTATGACACCATGGCAACCTCAAGCTCATTTTGCATCCAACACGACTTCCACCACTCCTCAAGGACTACCGGACAGTCGTGCTTCTCATCATGTCACTGCTGACCTGAGTAATCTATCTCTTCACACACCTTACAATGATTCTAATGATATTATGAATGGCGATCAATCGAGTGCTTCTACATCATTTACCACTCATAACACATCATTTAAATTAGACAATGTTTTGTGTGTTCCTAGCATGAAAAAGAATCTAATTTCTAAAGAGTATGCTTACATATGGATTCCCTTGTCGCTACATTCGGCCTTTTCAATTCCTCCCGATCCGTATAATGAAATCAAATTGAGTACCCTATCTTTACCAGTAGCACGTACACAAATAGAATTCTTATTTGTACAATACAAATATCTCAATTTTGTACTCTGTCGAATTCTTACCATCCTCTTTTCATTGTGAAGGAACTTCGCATGGGGACAATTCTTTTGAAGGGTCAAACGAAGGATGGGGTGTATGAATGGTTGGTTCCTTCTTCCCTAACATCTCCATTAGTAGCCTTTTCTAGTGTCAAAACTTCTTCATTTGCGTGGCATCATATATTAGGTCATCCTGCATTTCTAATTTTAAAACATATTATTTCACATTATCAGTTAGATTTATCTTCCTCTCTAATCTCTGATTTTTTATATAATGCTTGTCACAGCAATGAAAGCCATAAATTACCTATCTCTACATCTACTATTGTTTCCTCTCAACCAATTGAAATTATTTTCTTTGATGTGTGGACTTCCCCTCTCTCTCATGATGGTTGTCGCACTATGCAATAACAATGATTTTAAATATTATGTCATATTTGTTGGTCACTTCACTAAATACATTTGATTTTATTTTCAAAAATATGAAGTTAGAGAGGTATTTATCATATTTAAAGCCATTGTGGAAACACACTTTCAAAATAAAATCCACACACTTTACTCTGTTAATGGTGGTGAATATATGACTCTTTGAACTTTTCTTGCTACTAATGAGATCACTCATCTTACTACTCTATTGTATACTCCTGAACACAATGGATATTTTAAAAGATGTTATCGTCATATTGTTGAAATAGATCTCACTCTCCCATCTCAAGCATCATTTCCTTTAATGTTTTGGACTCATGCTTTTGCCATTGCTATTTACCTAATAAATTATATACATATGCTCATACTAAATTTATCATCCCCATCTAAAAGCATTTTTGGCTCTCCCTCAAACTATTCTAAACTTAAAATTTTTGGTTGTTTGTGCTACCCATGGTTACGTTCTTATGCATCTCACAAAATTGAATCTTGTTCCAAGCCCTGTATTTTTCTAGGCTATTCCTTTACTCAAAGTGCTTATTGTGCTATTATCCTCCCACATCTAAAATATATGTTCCTCGTCATGTAAAATTTATTGAATCAATCTTCCCCTTTTTTATGTTATTCATGCAATCTCCCAGTCCATAACTAGACACCGTCTCTACATGGATCCCTCCCATCATCACAGTCCCAACGAACCAAGCTTCCACCAGGACATTCAACACACCATCTCCAGTTCAGCCTCTAAGATAGCCCTCTTATGATGCTTCATTCCCCACTACTAGTATAACCCCACACATCCCACATAAGCCTCTTGTCCAACCAACCATCTCTATACCTTCACCTGAAATCCAACCAACCACCTTTGTGCTTTCATCCAATACCCAATAAAACACATCTATCCCAATCCATAAAAATACCTTACAGCCACCACCCATAAACTCCATAACCACTAGAGCCAAAAACAACATTCAAAAACCAATCCAGAAACTTAATCTCTCCACACAACTATCTCACCCTGTTGATGTAGAACCAACCACTATGACCCAAGCACTCAAAGATCCAAAATGGCATCAGGCCATATCTGAAGGATATGATGCTCTTGTTTGAAATGGGACTTGGGAGCTTTTGTTGTGTGTGGTCCCACACCATGTGATGGTGGGACCACCACATTAATTTTCATATGATGGTTGTCTCTTGGTGTTTAAAATTAAGTGGTTCAGGTACTGTAGCGGTAGATTGAAAAATAGAAGAGAGGAGAAGAAAATCAAGAGAGAAAAAGAGAAGTAGAGGTAGCTTGAGTTCTTTCTTCGATTTCCACCTCGTTCACTATTGGATCGAGCTAAGATTTTAACAGCGGCTTCTAGACACGTTGATCTTCATTCTGGATGGTTGGAATGAAGATTGGTGGTATAGAAGCTGGCCGTTTTGACAGAAAACGGGGCTGTCAGTTTTGTGAGTTTTTCTCAAATAATTCTCCTTTAATCTTGTTGTAATCCGAGAATAAGTTGTTCTTGATGATATATATGTTATATCCCTTAGTTTAATCTGAGGAAGAATGATTGTGAACCCATTATTTGTTGATAATGGAAGTTTTTAGGTGGACTACAGTCCCGTGGTTTTTCCCGCATCGGGTTTTCCACGTTAAAAATCTTGGTGTTGATTTTGTGATTATTTACATTATTTTTATCATTGTTTGATTTTGTTTTACTGCACAAAGAGGGAAAGAATTGGGACTTATGAATTGTGAATTGTATTCCGCTGAATTGATCTGGGTAAATTGGTGTCTGGTTGTTCCTAGTTTTCTCAACAAAGTGGTATCAGAGCATTGGTTGTGTAGATTGAATTTCTTATGTAGTTAAAATGAAAAAGGAAGATT